TTCTAAAAGCAAGGCGTTACTATTCTACTGAAAACATCAATGACGGATTGTAAAATTCCGAGATGAGTAGTATTACTGTTTCTACAATTATCTCTCTCTTCTAGCTACTTTCCGACGAGTATATGAGCATTATTTCAGACAGATCCTTGATACGCCTCGCCCCTAGAGGCTTTCAATCGATTTTCATCTCTGCGCCGATACATCTTTCCCTCTCTCTTGGCGCAGACCATCCATCAGATTCTGTCGAGCAGGTGGACACCTCAATGAAGGCATCGGAATGGTGATTGATTCAGCACACGCCCCGGGGTGCCCCAGTGGCTATCATTAATTCAGTCTCCACTTGGGTCACAAATGAGACTAGGAAAAGGCGATTAGTTTCATACGGGAGACGTCTCGGACTTAAATTAAGTATCCTCTAGTAACTCTTAATTCTCTTGAACGAAAATTATGTGCTGATTGTCGCAAATATACCTAAAATTCAGTTTCAATATAGTTTCATACAAAGTTTCATTTTTCTTTGAAGTTATTTTGACAGACAAGGTGCTGTGTAAGTACTTAATAGGAGAGTCTAAAATTCGAATCGCTTCTCTATTCAACATATTCGTTTCGCGTACGAAAATCTCTTAACCAGTGACCATTTCGACATTAAATCGAATTCGGAGTCAATGATAGTTCACGAACCAAAACCTTTCCAACCGGAAATTATTCACTTTGATGCTTTAAATGTTGACCAGAATGTTGAGTGTACGGCGAGTGAATAAAGCATGTGTGATGTTGGACTTCTGACATTGTGCGATTTATCAAAATAATTTTCCTTTATAGAGATGATTTCTAGCAAACAGTTGGTCTATTTGGATATGTTTTTGAGTTTTTTCTCTTCAATATGGGTGGACATCTGTACTGCACCTTAACAAACGGGTTACGGGCTGTGCGCGATCTTTCCTTCCTCTTTTTTGTCACATCCTCGCCCCCTTACTTAAACACACTTTCGCTTACATGCTCTACACCATCACACATTTCAGGAGATCAGTAGGAAGCTTAGAGCTCTCGTCGGGGTGGCACCTTGCTTGTGGAGGTACCTAGAGGGACGAAATCCCTCTTGCGGCATGTTGGAGGCGCCGGATATCACGATGGGAAGGAACCGTCATCTCCAGGGAGAAGACATGATAAACACTTACGGGCCTAATCACCCAACTGGTGGGATGGACACACCTCAAAATCTTAAATACTCTCCCTCTCGCACAAATTGGTTTTTTTTTCTTATGAGAAACCTGCTCTTTCCTGCGGTTTGGAGGAGCAAGACGCATTCGGCTAGACGCGTGGGCGTCGTGGATACCCCCTCCCCTTCTTTCCCTCGTCGCAACAGCAGCGGCGCGTGCGGCGCTGTGAGTCAGTGGCGGAAGAGCTGAGCCGCGCTGCTGGAGGTGCGGGTGCAGGGGAG